AAAAAAAAAAAAAAAAAAAAACCTCAAATGGAAGTCTAAAGTTTCAGCCAGACAAAACTTGTACTGAATTGATTTTAAATTAATATAACTTTGAAAATATTTATACGAATGCAGTTAAATGAAACATATCATCGAATACAGTAAATTCAAATTCTCATGTACTTACTGTAGAGATATGAATTCCATCCAGTCGAAAGGGTTTTTCACGTTATACATCCTCTGGTACCCTAATGCAACCTGAGAGGCATAAAAAAACATTTATTTTCTCAAGCAGTCCATTTTCCGAATGAGAGAGAGAGAGAGAGAGAGATGTATACCAGCAGTCGATCGGCAACAAACTTTATATATTGGCTCATTAAATCTGAATTCATGCCAATTAGTGCACACGGAAGAGCATCACAAACAAATTCGGTCTCGATTTCAACAGCTTCTTGCACAATAAGCTGAACTCTCTGCCAATGTAGCTGCTTCCGAAGTAAACTGCAAATTACTCGGAAGACATAATCTTTCCTCATCATTCAAAGTGATTATTAGTCATTTGACATTTGGAAAAAAGGCAAATATTCTTTTACCTATATAGGAGGCAAGCAAAATCACAGTGAAGACCCTCGTCTCTAGAAATAAGCTCGTTAGAGAACGTTAAGCCCGGCATCATTCCCCTCTTCTTAAGCCAAAAAATCGCACAGAAGCTGAGTATAACCAGAAAGTATGTCACTATAAGTGAAATCTTTTAAAATACTACTGCTGAGGTTAGGGCTAATTATGAGAACACATAATTATCTTTCAAATTGCAGATAGCCACTTGACAAGCGTTTTCCTTTAAAAAATTACCCAGCTGACGATTAATTTGTAAAACGAACACCAACATGAAGGGCATATTTGTAATTCTAGGAGATAACCCGATGTTTAAGATACCCAAATAAACTGAACGGATAACTTCTGAAATAATCACAAGATAAGAGTTGAATATGCAATACCTCCCAGAGAAGAAAATGCCTTCTACACAAGCAAAAGCGACTAGCCTCTCTGCAAATGAGCTTGCACTGCAATTGATATTATATCATTATCAATTATTACGCAATATTACATTTAATTTGTGATATAACCGTACAAATATGACCAGAACGACCAAGAGGGCCAACACAAATCAGATGTCCTGAGTGTAGGAATTGAAGCTAGCTTCATTTTCTATATCAATAGTACTAAATGCCTTTTTTTTTAACATAAGACAATTTAGATATTTGCTCCTATGTAATAAAAGATTTGTCAAGAAAAAAAAAATTAGCAAAATATAGTATTCTCACAAAGGACACATATATAATAAAGCAACAAACAGAATGCAACAGTTAAATTCCATTAGATGTGGTTTTCCCTAGCCATAACTAATAAAGTGCATGTAAAGAACAATAATACCTCTTAATCCAGTTCAATGCCCACTTGGCTTTTCTTTCAACACATGGAATGTTTTCAATTGCATTAAACAATCTGTTCTTCTCGTTTGAGTCCTTGATATATGTTTCCAAAAGCAAGCTATACATCTCTATCGAGAAGATCAAAATCAGTTTTATTAAAGCATGATATGAAGCTGAATTGCTACAAGCGTCATTAAAAGGTACCAGAATGTATATTTTCCATTGCAATTTGAAATCCATAAAATGCCCGAGCCTATCAGAAAACCAGAGCAATACACATCAGTCAGGTTCAATGGAATGGCCACATACTGTTAAAAAAAATAAGGACTCACAACAACTATTCCTGGGTTTATTACTTTATTACTGTAACATGAATAAGATAACTTGGAAAATGATGAAAAAAAAAAGTAAGGTTTCATTTCGTCCTACATTTTGCTCCATGGTTAGCAACACAATGGAACTCGCTAACGTCATCAAATATTATATATTTACACCCTAGAGCTTTTCTCAATATTGTAAAAAGCCAATAACTTATTTGGTTTATCCGTGATGCATTGAAAAGCTGACCGGTTCAGTTGTAAGATGTAAACAAGAAGTTGGATTTTTCTATAATATATAGAAAAATTGCAAGATGTAACCGTAAAATATCCAATTACAAGTGGAACATGTAAGAAAGGTGAATCAGGGGTGGTTTTTGTACTTTCCAAATTTTGAAAAAGGTCTTCATAATAAGGCTAAACCTCGTGAGTGATCATCATAATCTCCCTAAATATTTCAACTCAGAGAATTCCTATAGTTGCTTGTCACACCTCAGGAATCTGAATGTCGTTCAAAAATCTTGCGGCGAGATTTTCCAGAACAATCCCATCTGAGGCAGCAAAGAATGCAAGCACGTGGCTTATGAAGTGCTTTTCAGATGGGGTCAAATTTTCCCACTGCTGCACGTCCTGTGAGAGGTCAACCTCCTCGGCTATACCCAAAAATTGATTAATCAAGAATAAAAATACATAGTATACAAACATATATAAGGCTAGAAAAAGAGAAAAAAAAAATGAAAAATGAAGGCAGCAAGATAGCATCAATGTCAAAATATTGTAAATCAAAAGAATTATGAAAAGATATACCTCTCAGTTACATTTGATGCAGAAAAAATATGTTTCTTTAAACAAGTCACGTTACATTGCACAAAGGTTTTCATAGTACAAGATGATTTGTTCGAATTTCACGACATTACGAATATCTTTTGTACAAACTTCCTGTAACCAACTATCGACATGAACACACCCTTATAAATTTGGAAAGAATATGAACAAATAAGTCCTTTGACGAGAAAAATCCAACGAGTGCTCAACCTTGCACCCTACCCCAGCACAAGTGGGCACGAGAATCGAAACGAACGAACGAAAAAAGGGCATGGCAGTAAGTCGGCAAACTCACCAAGACGAACGCAAGATTGCACAGTATAATCCTATAAAGGCTAACTGTGCAAGGCCAAGCATCCGGTTACAGAGCACATTTCAACAATAATAAGGCAGAATATATGTAGAAACCCCCAATCCTAAGACTGTAAGCAATTGTGCAAAAGGAAAAGCATGAGATTACAGATTAATTAAACATCAAATATGCACAGAAGGAAAGCAAAATTCCTCTCATTCAAACAAAACAATGCTTAACAGTAAGTTCAAAAGCAATAACATTTATCCCAATAGAAAGAGCCCACAAACAGAATCGAACATAAGCCAGTACAACATATGTGTTACCGGTCCAAAAACTGGCCTCTTCTTTCTTGTACATCTCCCAAAGCTGTGGGTACTTAATTGGGAACATACAAAACTTCTGCGGTTGCTCCATTAAAATGGGTTCTTCCCCTTCCTCTGCAATTCCCTTTTGTTCAGGCAATCTTATCTCTGTTTCATCATTTCTCAAAGAACCCATTTTTTCACTTCTTATTTTTTTTCTTGGCAAATAGAGAAGGTATACAAGTTCCCTTATCTACAACTCTTGGGTGCGGGGAAACACAGAAGACTGAAAACCCTACTAAAACCCCTTGAAGACGAGATTTTGATTTTTCTTTTAAGTTTACCCGCGGGCGTGTCCTGGTGCTGGTGCATGGTCTATATTAATCCCCGTGGTCTATGGCTTCTATCTCCAACCGAATACCTCATACTCAAACTTATTTTACAGCATCCGCTTTTGCAGTAATTCATCTCCAACCGAAAAACTCATTCTCCAATCCAAAAGAATATTCTCTTTTACATCAATTTTTATAAATTTTTAATGTTACCCACATATTTTATAACTTTACAAATTAAACCACACTGTTATTTTCAATTCAATTTGGACTTTATGTAATAAACTAATTATAAAGTTATAATTAAATACATAATAAAATCGGAAAAATAAATAGTCATCCAAAATTAAATTTTAAAAATTACGACACGCAGTATAATATTAAAAATTACAACGCATAAGATGATAAATTAAAAATTACAACACACAAGATAACATTAAAAAATTACAACGCACAAGATGATAAATTTAAAACAGTGATTTGTCATGTTTTAATGTTATTTCAATCTATATTAGTACTGTTGTTATTCTATGTTAATGTTTTTTTTCTTGTTAAATAAAAATACCATGAATAATATGAATATTTACATTATTATTGTGAAACATATAAAATTAATGATAAATATAATATTTATTATTTTAAATATTATGCTAAATTTTTATAAAATTAATTTTTTAGTATTTTACATTATTATTGTGAAAAATATAAAATTAATATGTATAGCTACTCTACTATGAAAAAATAAAAAAATAAACACTTGGGTTTGTATATATGTTTCAAAAATATTTTTACATTTACTGGATTAAATTTGTTGTCAAATATGCATAACCTATAAATGTTCTAGTAATATTATAACTTCTATTGTTATTTTCTTAAGTTCTAAAATTTAAAAAATATAATGAAGACAAAAATAAAACACAGTAAAATCAAACGATGGTCATACAACTAAACAATATAAATAAATAGTATATAAATAACACCCTACAAAATAAAAAGGACCAACTTGTAATTGAAAAAAGATTTTGCGTTTTGGGACAATAAAAACGCAAATTTAGTGTAGAAGAGGAGAGAGAGTTACAAAAATTCATTTTGCGTTTTCTGTTTGCGTATCGATTGGGAGCAAATTACTCCATTTTTTGAGTTTTTAGTGTCGGTTGAAGAAGGTCTTATAAGGTTATCCCTTTTATTTGTTAATTTCCAATTTCCATATTATTGGTGCATTTAAGTTTCAATTGCTATTTGATTTTTTTCTTTGTTTTTCTCTAATTTTGGTCGCATGATTTTTGTGGTTTCTAGAATGAACACGATATATGGGACATTCTTATGGGTCATCACAAGAATCCCATAAGTTTTTACCTAACTACAATTAAAGCTTCATTTATTTTTCTCAATATCAATATATTTTTAGGAGGTTAGGAGCGGTTTTGCTATGGAGCTAATAGTTGACTCTATAATAGAGCCAACCTTCTATATACAATAATAAACCTATCATATTCTCTGATTACTTAAATAACACTAATATAATTTTATTAATATGGCATGGTTTATTTGTTGTGTATAAAAGGTTGGTTTCACTATGGAACCAACTGTTGGCTTCATAGCAAAACCAGGGGTTAGAGTTGTAAACAAAGTTGAGTCGAGCTCAAAACTTCTGATACTTGAGTTCTTAATACTTGAGCCTTTATCGAGTTGAGTCGAACTCGACTTGTTGACTAATTGGGCCGATAAATAAGTTCAAGTTCAACAAAGCGAGCTGAACTCGGGCTCCTAATATTAACTTGGCTCGTCAACTAATTCAGCCAACGAATTAACCACATAAACAACTCGATTCATTTAAAATTTGTAGTTTCATTTGTTGGTATATGTGTCTTAGAGACAATCTTTTTTAGGACGTAATGATCACATTAATATTACATTTGATTAAAATTATGATATTGCAATTAATTGAATAATTGTTTACAATTTATTAATTAATTACTCCTTTGAGTTAATACTGTCATTAACATAGTGAGATGTTAATTGATAAAATATAACTCCAAAACTGCCTCAATCGATGATCATTAAGAAAGAGATATTAATGATACGCGATAGATTGACATATGGTATGCATCATATTCTTGAAGTATATAATATATCTCACTATTGTGAATAATTGTTATTCTTGATGGACACATAGATACTTTGGAGAGTATTGGTATACTCTACCGATAAATCATTTGTTTATGTGTACATGAGAGTATCAGTGTGTGGAATGGTATAATAGTCATTTGACTTGAAATCAATACACAACTCATGTATAGAGTGATCTAGTTAGACTTAGTACAACGCTTACACTCCTTATGAGGTTGATACTGGCTTGCGTCGGGTTGATCATGATATACATGAAACTTGTAGTTGGGTCAAGATAGGATTCATTTATCGAATATAGGTTCGAGTGAACACTCATTTTCTCTATACTTGTTGATAAGGTCATTTGGTCAATGCACGTGATTATATTAATTGAAATGGTGTTCAAATATAATTGATTAAAGTCAACCAGTAAGATGAGATAAAATGATTAAGTTGTTTGAATAGACACACGTTCAAGTCTTAAGTTTAATCGAGTGGTTCGTGAATGAAGGGACTGTATCACCATTAAGTTCTATACTAAAGGTTTGTTTGTTTAGTCTACGTAAACGTACTTCATATTTTGAGTTCGTTCTTTGATGCAGTCTAGGAGTTTCATAAAGATCATAAATTAGATTTATGTCAATATATAAAGTGCATTGAGAATGTTAAATATTCAATTAGATTGAAATATTTATTTATGAGTTATGAAATTATTAATTTTCTATTTTGTAGAAAATATTTAATTAAGTTTAATTAGATTTATACTTAATTAAATTGTTATTAGATTAGGTAAAATTACATATTGGGCCATAAGATCTCCTCGACCCATATAATTAGATTTGACCAAATTATTAATTTTTCATTGTTATTGGTGTCGGTTTCTTGGGCTCTCTTTTCACTACAAGAAAATGATGAAATTTTAACGAAAATTTATTATAATAGAATGATTCCAATGGCAGTTCCAACGGATATTTCAATACTATTATTTCCGTTGGAATTTTTCAATGGATTCCAACGGAAATTCCAACAAAAATATTCCGTTGGAATGAGTTTTTTATTGGATTTTTTGTTGGATTTTGATGATTCCAACGGTGGATTTTCTAATAACAGGGATGGAAATAAAAATTCCAACAGAAATTGCATATTCCAACGGAAATTCTTACGGTAAAAGTCGTTGAAAATATAGCCGTTGGAATCACCAATTCCATCTAAAATTCTAATGAAAAACACATTCCGACGGAATATTTTTGTTGGAATTTCCATTGGAATATATTACCATAGGATTTTCTGTTGGAATATAACAATTTTTTTGTAGTGTTAATTTTCTTTGAGTTTTAATACATTTGTTATCGTATTGAAAGAAAAATCATCTATATTCATTTTTGTATAACTAGCAAACAATGACAATGTAGAATTCACTTCTGTATTCTAAAAAATAATATAAAAATTCTCTCTCTCTAATAATGTATATGCAAAGTTGTTGTTTAATGTAAAAACATTTTTATGTAAAGTTGTTGTTTGCAAAACAACAACTATAGCTTATATTGTAATTACCTTTATATCCTTGTACAACCCTAAGTATAAATAGGGCAAACACCACCTCTGTACTCATATTGTCGATTTACAAAGTTTTGCGCAGTTTTCCCTTTCTCTTCCCGTGCTGTCTTTGTTCTTCGATCTATCTTTCAATCTAATATGGTATCAATCGCCATCGATCCTTCGATTTTCGCTTCCGCAATCCTGTTTACCTTCATCGATTGAATCTCCATCTCTGAGTTTCTATCGATTTGTTTTCTGTTTTTTGTTCGACGATCGATCGGTTATTTTTAGGGTTTTCCTCTGAAAACTGATTGTTTGATCTACATCTCCTAGATCTTTTGTTCCTGATTCATAGTTCTTTCGATCGATTATCGACATGGCTGCTATCGCAAACCCTACTGACGATCCTGCGTCCCCATATTTTCTCTATGCTAGTGACAATCCAGGAGCGATCATCATAGCCGAGCTGTTCAACGGCGAGAATTATGTTTCATGGTCGCGAGCTGTCTTGATGGCACTCAGTGTCAAAAATAAAGGTGGATTCGTCGATGGTACTCTTCTCTCTCCTTCTCCTACTGATAACCCTAGTCTGTATGTGTCTTGTGTGAGGGCCAACAATCTGGTTATGTCATGGCTATTGAATTCAATTTCGAAAGATATCAGACAATCATTATTGTTTTTTACCTCTGAAAAAGATGTCTGGGATGAATTGAAAAATAGATATGCAGTTAGTAGTGGTCCTCGGGTTTTTCAGTTAGAGAAGTCTCTTAGTACCATAGATCAGGGTTCAATGTCTATTACTCAGTACTATAATAATTTTAAGGGACTCTGGGGTGAATATGTGACATTTCGACCTGTCTTTCGATGTCATTGTGGTGCTTTTGTATCTTGTACTTGCAATGTTTTTGAGTCCATGGCTAATTCTCAACAGCAAGACTGTGTCATGAAACTCTTAATTGGACTCAATGATTCATATGCATCACTCAGAAGCCATTTCCTTCTCTCATCTCCCTTACCAAATCTCACAAAAATATACTCCCTTTTGCTCCAAGAAGAATCACAGAGATCCTTAAACAATTCTACACTGTCTCATGATCTTTTAGCCATGATAGCCAAAACTACTACCTCAAACCAGAAATTCCAGAAACAGCCTTTTCACAAAGATAAAAAGCCCAGGCCTAAATGCACCCACTGTGGATATCCCCACCCTTCTGAC